ATTACATTACATTACATTACATTACATTACATTACATTACATTACATACATACATTACATTACATTACATTACATAACATAACATAACATAACATAACATAACATACATACATGCCATGCCATGCCATGCCATGCCATGCCATGCCATGCCATGCTATGCCATGCCATACCATACCATACATACATACATTACATACATTACATACATTTCATACATTTCATACATTTCATACATTAATACATTCATACATTACAATACAATACAATACAATGCAATACAATACAATACAATACATTACATACTTACATACATACATACTTACATACATACATACAGACTAACATACTAACATTACATTACATTACATTACCTAACCTAACATAACATAACATACATGCGTACATACAGGACCTAACATTGCATTGCGTTGCATTGCAAAACATAAGATAGCATAACATAACATAACAATACAATGACAATAACAATAACAAACATACATACATGCATATATATGTATAGTATAAATAAATAAATATATATATATATTATACCTGTGTGTATATGATGATTCTGACTATGATGATGCTCCGTTTCCAGACCAAGATCTACCCTTAGGCTCTCGGGCCGTTTCGGGCAGAAGGAGCCCCCAGAAGGCCTGGCGAGCGTCGCGTCGGGGCGTGGCCCGGCCAGTTCGGCCTTTTTGGCGAACCGGCGAACCGGCCGTCCTATCGAGGAGTCCCCAAAACCGTTTCCGAAGGCCTTTAGACTACAACCTGTCAGGTGCTACGGGCAGGGGGCACTGTCAACTCGGGTCAACCTTTGGTCTTGGACGGCCTTTCTTGGATCTTTAGGGTATTGATTCATATGTATTGATGGCCAGCGATGTCCAAGGGAGAAAACACAGCAGACCCACTTCAAGACAAGACTCTCAAATCTTCATGAAAGAAACGGGGGCAAGCTAGACTATAGGGCGCCACTTCTCGGGCCGTATCTTGGCCCACACTTCGGGCTAAAACCCGCTGCTTCCTCACCAGCTCCCCACCACTTCGCTGACGGAACCGATCCACGGCGCATCCGCCTGCTGCTCATCCAGGATGCCACTTTCGCGCAAGGCGCTCGCCACCGAGGCGTCCTGGGACGCAGCGCCGCGCCGCGCCGCGTCGGCGACCCGGTCGGGAGGGACGAGCAACAGGGGACGAACGAGGTGCTCAGGGGGCTCGTCGCGACACATGCCCCAAAAACATGGGTCCGGCCCAAAGCCAAACCATGGAAACACGTGGCAAAAGCACTCCAGGTCGGAGCGGGTCCGACTGCGTACCACGCTCGGCGGGTCTGCGCGATGCGGCCGTGAGTTGGCCCGCTGGGGTGACCTTTGAATAGCACCACCTCTTCCTCCCAAAAGGGGTGTTCGGATGACTTGCTGGGGGCGGAAAGCTCGATCCCCCAAAAAAGGGCACATCAATTCTGCATTTGGCACAAATGGGCACCGCGCATGCACGGAGTGCTTAAGACCAATATACATATACATACTCTGCATTGCATTTTCTGAACCCCCACTCACACTGATTCCACCTTCCTCACCTCCGAAAAGGCCGAAGTGAAGTTCCCCCGACCTCCACACCACTCAAGATCCAGGTAGGAGGCACCACCTGCCATGTTCATACATGTTCGACGATCAAAATGAGTGATTTCGAAAAGGCTCGTTCGGTTTTTTCGGCTCGTTCTTCTGCTGGAGAGTGCCACCCATGGCCCCTGGTCTGGGCCAGGGCTTTTGGAAGCTGTGCAGGTCAGAAATCGCCAAGAATCTCAATGCATTGCTTTTAGTGTGCCATCCTTGGCACAACAGCTCAGTGCTTCGGGATTCTGGGTGGACTCCAAGGGGTAGCTTGGATTAGGGAAAACATCTGCAGCGTGCGCCCTTAGCATTCACCCCCTGATCTGCCATCGTGCCTGGCGTGCGACCCACTTCCGGGTGTTCACCGTACCGAAGCCGAACTGCAACAGCACGCCAAAGGTCCCTCGCGCGCGCGTGCAGTCATCGCGCGTGGTACGGGGGGGGCGGGTTGGGGGTCGGGTCGGGTCGGTGCTTTTCCGGGTGAAGGAAGGGACAAAAGATGAAGTGACCCGAGAGATGTTGATCCAGTCATGGCTTTTGATGGTGAGTTGAAAACCTTTCGGGACGGTAAAACCTGATTATAAATCACAGTATTATAGCAAGACGTGGGTACTGCAATGCTGGTGCGACATATTGAAAAACACACTCCACTCTCTATACTTCTTTAGACGGGCTCATCAAATTTAAAGCTATGCCCGGCGGTCTGGAAGTCCAAGTTGATCGGGTTTTGTAGCATCAAATCCTTGGTGCAAAAACTGGTTGCTTGGTAAATGCGTTCAACTTCGACTCCCATAGGTTCATGAGTATTTATACATACAGTAGGTATTGCAGTGAGAGGACCAACCGCTCAAGCGACTGGACACACCCAATCCATCCAGAAGAACTATCTTTGGCCAACAAGTCCACCAGCACCCTCCAAGGATTCACCTGGCTGGAAGCCCCAGACACTCCTTGTCGATCTGCATTGGCCACCCCGACAAGGAAAAAACATCAAGCAGGATCAAAGGTTAAGAGGACCTGTTCACCTGACCACCTGACCAAGCACGCACTCCAAAGTGAGGTCTGCACTAGGTGATCCCAAAGTTCAGAATGGCCCTCATCCGGGTGGGTGCGAAAAATACTTGGACTTCTTCTGGGGCTCTCCTTGTTTGAAGTGTCCTGGGTGGAGTGTCAAGGGTCCCGAGAGTCCGGACCCCTCGGTTGGTGCGAAAGATCGTCTCTTCCACCCAGCAGTCACAAGACGGGGTGCCGGGGTTCGATCCATGGAGGTAGTCGGGGTGCCCCTGTCACATCCACTCACTGGATGGGACGAGCTACACCACCCCTTTGTGACCGCTGGACTGGACTTTTTGTTGGGATTCTCCTTCTCGAGCCCTCCAAGAGGAGCGGACCAAACCCTCCAACCCTCCAAACCCGTCGGCAGCCTGGGCCGGTGTCTGCTTTGCCGAAATGCATGTGCACGCCCACCTTCAAGACCTGCATGTGCACGGTTTTCAACATCGCCCGGACCAACCAACCACCGCCTTTTCACGCGGATGGCCCTCGACAGTCGTGGAGGGCACTCAGCCCTGTTACCGAAGGCCCAATCCTATAAAAACACGGCCCACAGACTGAGGTGTTCAGGACATTTCAGGACCAGGTTTTACTGGGCAGACTGGACCTTTAGGGTTGGGTCCATTGAATATGTCTGACCAAATTGACGCCCAAGTCAGATTCGTCTGAAACCCGCCACCACTGAACTCTACTACAGTATGCAGCTGCCATGTTCATGGCATCGCCTTGTCCCCCCAGGCCCCGACCATAGACTCACTCCCAGAACATGTTTGAACAATCGATCGTGCACTGAGCCGATATCACCAGGGCGTGTGCTGTCCACCGTTGAAACCGCCTGCGCTTCTCGCCATCCGTGCGACTTCTGCCCTTGCACAAAGTAATGAGCCTCGCAGGGCAAGAAAAGCCATTCGCGCGCGAGCGTAGTGCAGTCGTGGTGTTTGTGGCCGTTTCCCGCGCGCGGTCGTCGGTGTTTGTGAGGAGTTTCTCCGCCGCCCGGCATTCATCCGGTTGCCGACGGTTGATTGAAGGTGTTTCTTTTCCGCCGAAGAGCCACTGGTTCACTAAGGACTTTCGGGTACAAGACCGAGGCAACCCCTTCCTTTGAATGGTCTCGGAAGGCTAGGGATCAAGAGTCGGCCGGACTGTGATGGGGGGGCGTGTGACAGACCGCCTGCAGACTAAGCATGCTGAACTGAAAGTGCTAGTTTTTTTGCGTATCCCCGGCTGAAGTCCAGTTCTACTGGAAGTTCCCTTTCAGTTCCCATAATGACCATTCTTTTTATAGTCTTTGACTCCCAGGATGCAAAAATAAATTGTAAAGTCATCAGAGTTCACAGTTTTCTCTAAAGCGAAAAGCCCCCTGTTCATCGTTTTTCGGGAGATTTTTGATGATTTTTGTGCAGGGTCTATAGTTAGCCTGCAGTGGGGGGTGTGAGATGATCACCGGCCCAGTCAGGCAGTGAACCAGATCGGCTCCACCACTGAGCTCCCCAGCCCTAACGCGCGCACCCTCCGCGATGCCAATGTAGTCACAAACATCTTTCCGGCCTAGAAAAACCGTGGTTTCAAAAATGGGTGGCACAAGTGTCAAATGTCCAAGTTTTGGTGGTTGGATGGAACCCCATCGAAGATACACCAGGACATAGTGCCCTAGGATTCCAAGCACAATTAATTCCATTGGCTGAATCCCGAGCAACTCATTGTTTACTGAGGATTTACACTACAAAACCAGGGTCAACTATGTTTAAATGGTCTTCGAAGGCTATGGTATTGGGTTAACAACTCCATCAAAATATATACTCTGAAACCACTGCAAGCTCGGAGTGCTCGGCGGCAATATGACGAACGATTGCCCTCTCTGAGGCCTGAAAGTGCCAAAAGAGCGCCGCAAAGCCAGCAGCATTGGGCATTGAAGGCTACAAACATGCTAAAATATGCTACAAAATTAAACATCCCTACCAGGCCACCCTAAGGGGTTTCTATTGATAGCTCCTTACAGGTTAAGGGGTGTCCATTAACCACCCCCGACCACCCCTTGTGGGTCCTGGTAGGGCTCCAGTCTTTGGGGAAGGTGGGTGCCAGGAATACCGAACCTGAGGTTCGGTACGACTGGACCATAAGTGTTGACCTGCTATCTCAACCACGACCTCTGCAGTGCCACTTCTTTTTGGAGAACCAACAGAGGTTGAAAGACCTTATAGGACCCTGGTCTGTGGTACATATGGGATGGGCTATAGGGCTGTTCAACCTCTCTTGGAAGAGGGGCATCTTTTGGGTGGTGCATCGTGGCGCGAGTGTCACTCACACTTCCCCTGACTCCTAGAAGTCCCAGGTTGATGGCGTTTCGCATCTCGCACCACACCAAGCAAGGAAACCTCCGAGCCAATCCTTTCTGCAGAACATCGTTTTCCTGCAGTCCCAGGGCACAAAACGCTCATCCGACCCAATCTCTCTACGTTGGTGTTTGACGCCACCTCCTTCCCAAAAAAGCACGACGCAGCCAAACCCACGCCCTTCCCTCCCCCCACACGCCCCGCACACGCCCACACACGCGAAGAAACGCTGCAGCTCCCGCGGCTCGTAGAGATGCGCAGCCGGCGCTGTTCGAAGAGCTGGCGGATGCCGCCCATCTTCCCCACGAAGTTCTCGGCGCGGTTCGAAGATCTCCCCCAAGGTTGTGCCGAGTCGGTTCGCCGATGGGGAAAGCTTCCAACAGAGGTTGAAGGACCCTAGTTAGCCTATCCCAGTTGAGGTCGTAGTTCAGGTCACTTATATAACCTCGCTTGCTTCTTTTGGACGGTCGAAGACGAAGCATCTATCCCTCAGATTACCCTCGTGCTCAGCTGTGCAGCTGAGGGAGAACCTTTCTTCCTCTGAGGTTGTCTGTCAACTTCAGGCAGCGACGGGCTTACGGCTTACCGTTGTCTGTTCCGATGTGACTTTTTCTTGTCCCACAGGTTGTATCAAAAATACCTCAGTTGAGAGTCCATTTTGGAGGCACCTCTTTTGAGAAGTTGGGAGAACCTACTGGGCACTTACACTTACGGTGTTCCAAATCCCTCCAACGGGAAATCAAAGCGGCCCCCACATCACTGAGCTCCGGACTTGAAATTCTTTCAGAGAAATCTTGCTGTCCTGGCGATGGGCCAGCGTCCGAATTGGTCCACCCCTCAGAGAAGAGTAGAGTTGCTTCTTATCTTGGCTGGTGGAGGCCTCTCATACATAGGCGAAGCACTGCGAAGCACTTAAAACCCAAAGTGCCAGTAGTTCTCAAACATTTCGATGTGGGTGCAGGTGACGGACCAAATCTGTAACCACCCCTTTCCTGCTGCAAAAGACCTTCCGAAAGGGAACGGCGGAACTGGGCGGAATCCCAAAAAACCGTGCGGTCGCCGGTCCCCTGATTTCCAGGATGCGTTGGACCACTGCAAGGGGCCTGGCAGCCCTTGCAGGGCTGAAAGAAGATCGTTCTTGTGGATTCATGCGTGGATGGTGGGGATCTGGGAGGCCCCGATGGTCTGACCACTGACTCGGGGTGACCCGGAGTAAGGAACTTTCTTACCCAGACGCTCCATGGGGCTGGCATTTATGCCGCCCCATTGACCCCCCTGGCAACAACCACCCCTGGCCGTTTCTCGGCAGTCCGACATGCCAGTCCCATTAATAACCAAGAGAGGTTCAGTGACCTGAACTAGGACCCTACATGACCAGCCCTACTGGGGTACCCAACTGGGATAGTCGAACTAGGGTTCTGACCCACCTCTGTTGGAAGTCGTGTCTGGGTCATTATTCAGTGGGACCTTCGGTGGAGACGTCCTCGGACTGCCCGACGTTGCTGAAGACTCGACTCGACCGACACAACGGCCACCCTCCGCGCGGGAGCTCGGCGGCGTGCTGAAGCAGCGTTTGGGCTGAAGGAAACAGGGGTCCGAGGTCTGTCGCCAACTCGCTATAATAGCAATGCGTGGCACCCACGTCGCGTCGCGTCGACGATGCAAGTCGCCACCTTCGACATGCGCCTCTGCTCCTCTTGGGGAATGCGGAAAAGGAGCGGCGAAGAAATGAGATGTGAACGATCTGAGTATGGGTCAAAACCTATCGTGGCCCATGTGGGGGAGCTGAGGACAGCCCCGCTCTTTTCAAGGTCAGTGGTATTCAACAGGGCCGGAGAAAGGAGCCTTCTTGAGAGGAAAATCGAAGCATATAGTCAGTGATTCCCTGCCAAGTCTCTCACTTCAGTGATGTTCCAACACAATATCTTGAACAAACTGAGTGGAGAACAAAGCGCTGGGGTGGACCCCAGTGTGTTGACCCCATCCTTGTGGATCTGAGTCCAGAGCCTCGCCCAGGCGCAGGCGCCGGAGCGACCGGTCTGAGACGTAATGGGACCTCGGCCCGAGACCCGAGCTCGGGGCTGGAGACCCGAGCTCGACCGGCTCTTGACTTGAGAAGGTTGGAGAGGTGGGCCATGGAATCTGAGTTGAAACAAGTTGAAACGTTCAAACTCACAATCACACTGCGAATCATTGTATTTTATACTCTATTAACATCTTCGCCGCTTCACCCTCTTGCCCCCCGACAAAAATGCCCTGCCCACTACTGCCCTTCCCCTATCTTCCTCTTCCTCCATCCCTCCGCAGCCTCTCCACTTGCTCTGGAGGGCCTTCCAAAACTTGATATACCACCTGCGTCCTGGACCCATTGCGCCCCGTCCGACCGGCTTTGGGCACCCGCCGTGCACGGACCAATCCACAAGGCCGGAATTGGATCGACTTCATGTAGGTTGTTGATGAATCAAACCCCCAGACCTGAAGAGGTGTTTACAAATCCTCCATGTCTGGGGAGATGTTGTGAATCAACCATCTACATGTTTTTCTTGGGCAGAAAGTGCTTCAAACGACCTCCAAGGAGAACCGCGCCAAGGACTGCTCCCACAGCTTCCCACAGCTCTCTCTCATTCTGCTCCTAAAATCAGTTTTACCGCAGTCCTATCATTGTACAGCATCCAGCCGGTGATTCCGTTCTTGCGGTTCTTTTCCTTAGGCATCCCGCTGGCCGTTTTGCAATCAAACGGTTGGAGGGCACCGACGGGGTGCTGGTGAGTGACTGTGATGTGGTTCCGGCATCCACCAAGGCGAAACATTGGAGCAAGCAAAGAACAACACTGCCTGGAACTAACATGGAGGTGGAAAACCCAATGTTTGTAAAGGGGTCATGCCATCCACTTCTGTGTTAGTGGGTCAGTGTAGCCCATGCGACAAGTCTCTTAGGTGTTGAAGCTGGTATTGAACCGTCCCAGAGCGAGCATCTGAAGCCGAAGCCACCATGTACTTCTCTGCCACCGAGCGTCAACGGCCCTCGGGACAATCTGCTTGACAGAACCCAGAGCCTCCTCATGTATCACGGACTTGTACATCAACTGCCTCAGCCCGCGCGGACTTGTACACTTGAGGCCGAGGGTTGGTGACGAAAGCTAACAGGGCAGGGGTGAGCATGCAAATGCACACGTCCCAGAAACGTCCCAGGGAGGAGTTGAACCCGCTTTTGGGGGGGGCGTACGACGAGTGCCTACTGTATCATGCGACGCTGCGCTCCCTAGAGATTCCACCCCTCACTTGCTAAAGCAAGAACAACTCCAGCTAGCTGGTGCCAGCTTTCGTGACCAACTGCCGGCTGCCTCACGCCTGAACCCACGCACATTGACAACAGCAACGGCTTTCTTGTGAGATCTGGTGAGATGGCCTCGCACGCGCGCGGAGGAAAAACAGCTTCCAATCTTCCCCAAAAAGGCTGCTCGTGGGCCTGCGCTCCTTGAATCTCCTGGAGGTGAGTGGTTGGTGGAAAAAAGGGATTGCCGTTCAGTATTAAGAAGTCAATACAGGTGAGGGTGTGAGAGTGCAGCGGCCGAGGGACATGAGGTTCGTGCCGGCACAATCACCATCAGAATTCGACGCCATGCCTGGCACATCGAAGGGCGAAGTCAACAACTCTTGGACAGTCAGTCTTGTGGTCAGAGGTAGCTAGATCTACCTAAAGATCCCAGAACTGATAAAAACGTCAGTTCTTGGGAAAAAACGATGTTTTCAGAGAAAACACGGGTTCTTCGTTTTCAAGGTTTTACAGAATCTCTATAGATCTCTATAGTGTGATCATATACACAAGCCAGGCAAGCTCCCACACTTTTTTTCATCAAGACTTGATGTATCCTGCTGCACTCCACTGTGCAAAAGCCGCCTGCAATGATCGTTCAATGGTTTGCTGCACGACCTGCTGCGCAGACGTTCTTCTTGTCACCCTTGATACTCTGCCAATGTAATCTTCGTCCATCTGACAGCTGAAGACTGCAGGGTTCATAGTGAACTCATGGCGTTTTGCCAAGTAGCGCAATTCAAAGAACAGGTGCTCTAACCCGTGTTCCTTGGGAACGTGTGGGAATAGGGCCCGTGATTGCTGCCAGCTCTTGAGCGCCAACATTCCATACAAGGAAACAAACTTGAGCCCACTGTTTGCTGCTTCCAAAGCATCCTCCTGAGAGAGCCAAACGTCTCTGCTGTACAGGATCCTGAGAGCTTTCCTGATGGCCCTGCAAGCTTCCAAACAATCGTGCAAAAGGCTGTTTTCAGGAAAACCTTGAAGCGCTGCCCATGATTCAAAGAAGTGGCAAAGGGATGTAGTCACATGCCCCTTCGTCCACAACCCGGCTGGATACTGAGATGTATCCTGCCAATTCAGCTTCGCTTGCGTTATGCTAATCAAGAAGGGTGATTTGTGTTCGGCTTCGCACCACGCCAAGTAAAGTTGGCTCAATTCATCAAAACGGTCTGGCAACCTGCTGCCGCACATGTTCTCAGATGCCAACACCAGAGCTCCTGCGATGAAGTATCTGCCAAGGCCCAAATGAAAGCAATGAAATAGGTCGAAGTGATAAAAGGATTCTGGTTGAGAATCGGCCCAGGGAATCTCCCTCAGTGGCGTGACCGGTTCCGCAAAAGCAGATTGTGAGAACCTTGTATGCCACCAAGTTGGTGTTGCATCGTCTCGTCTCTCATAGCGCTTGTAGCTAGTCAAGTGCTCGAATGGAATGTCCCGCATACCTGCGGAACACAGGTGGCAGATACCCACAGGATTGGCGTCAGCCCGCTGTGGTCTCTTTATGCAGTGCGTGTAGCCACGTGACAGATTACCTGCCTTCATTAGCCATGCCCAATCTCCAATTGCACCAATGCACACTGCAAAGCGCTTTTTCCCGTCAGCGCCTGGCACCCCCTCGAACATCAAGCGCTTGGCGTCCTGCGCAACAACCTTCAGGATCTCAGTCAGCGCCTCTGCGTCTTTTGTCATGCGAGGTAAGACCGCCGCAAGCATTCGACTTGTATGCGTTGGTCCCAAGTAGTTCAACTTCATGCTCAGGTACGGAGAAGACTTCCTCTCGCGGTTGGCGGCCTCCGTCCCCAGACCGAGGGCCGAATGCCAAGAAAGGACCAGCACTGCAGCTCTTTTGCGTGATCTTCCTTCGTCTCCATGCAGCAAAAGTGGAGCCGTGTGTGAAGGGTCCAAGAGACCGCTATCCACCAAATGCCACATCGGATGGTCCGGATTTTGTATCCGATATCTCCTCCAAAACTCTGCCAAAATATGTCCTTCTCTCTTCTTGTTTGCTTGTTGCAAGCCACATAATACATGGAAAGCATTGTATTCAACAAGGAACTTGAACCAGCTCACCAACCGGAGCATGCTAAGTCGACCTGGGTAGGTCATGCCAGGCGACTTCTGCAACTCAGTAACTCGGACAGGCAGGGTGAGACCAAACTTTTTGGCCACCACATTGTGGCCATCTCTCTCAGAGTGGCCTTCAGAAACCTTGGACAGCTCACACAATCCTGGGGAAGCTGATGCGGCAGCTTCCCCCAAGTCAGCAACTACACCTCGCGCAGTTCTCACAGCTGCTCGGTAGCTGGAGGCCTCAGCGAGCCCAAGAGTGGAGGGTCTATAGGAAAAGCTGTGGCACATCAGCGTAAGAACATGCGATTCAGTCTTGATGGGGCTTAAACGTCGTAACATGCTTTCAACAGCTTGTGCCAGATTGTGGCCAGGACTGAAAGCACGCAGAATGAAAGAGATACATTTTTTCACCC